TTTACAAAATTGTATTAAAAAATGTCAAAAGTTACTAAAATTTCTATTTTTCAGTTTTTAGATAATTTCTAGTTGAAATATAGCTACATATTACCAAAAGCGATTAAAACACTTCCTATTAAGTTACTAGGCATCTCCAGGCTTATACATAAAAGTCCGCCCCCCCCCGATACTACGATAGAAGCAAAAAGGTCCAATTCCCCAATGGTCTCTGCTCGTTGCCATCTCCCCTTCATTCCATAGTACATTCGTTCCATGCCTAATCAATTATCCACCCATCCCATCTCCTTCTCCCCCTCATCTCATTTCCAGAATATCCCCCGTGTGTGCGGTGTCATTCCACAGAGCCATATTCCCCCCATCTATTCCATTCCATTCCTCTTTCCAGTCTCCATTCTTCATGTTCGTTCATCTGAATAATCCCCCCTAGGCCACGCCCCCTTTTCTGCGCTTCTTCCTCTCGTCGTCGCGTTTCACAAAGCCCCATCCCTTTTTATCCCTGTTTTTTTTTGTATTAACACCTCAATAGCCACGTTTTCGGGAAAGTTCAAAGGATTCTGACGTCGAATTCGGGCTATTCTGGCATGTTTTCGGGCCGGGGCGTCTCGACAAACGTTTTCTGCTAGCTTACCCTTCTTCCTCAACAACTTTTGCTAGCCGACCCACATACTTCCCCAGTGGCTACTGCTAAAGCTTGAGCTCCTCTACAATGATCTCAGCTAGTTGCCTTGCTCCTCAAAGGTTCCCTTCAAGCTTTCCGAAATTCAAAATAATCTCTGCTCGCTTGCCCGATCCTCTAAAAACCTTTGCTAGCCTGCCAATTTCCGAAATGATCTCTGCTCGTTTCCCCGCTCGGCAAGAGGTACTGCAAGTTTCCCAAAAAAATAGTCCTCTGCTAGCTTGCCTTTTCCTCAAAAATCGCAGCTAGCTTGCCTTTTCCCAAAGAATCATTGCTAGCATTTGCTCCCCCTAACTTCCCAAATGCTCTTTGCTAGCCCTCCTCTCAATTTGTAGCCGAATCAAAAATTGCAAGCGAAAAATCCCCTCAATTTCAATCAATATCGCCCTCCATTTCCCTAACAATAGATCTATTCTTGTCTAGAAGAGGGGAATGGCAGAACAATTGGGCCCAGCGTATTTGACCAATAACCACTAGTTTTTTTTAGTTTCTGCACGCATTAGAAAGCAAAAAAATAGCTTAAAATAGTATCATAAAAATTCCGCAAGGATCCGTGCTTGATTGCCTAACGAGACGGGCAATTCTAGACCTTTTAAAGGGCCAATGAAGTCACATGGAGACCCGGAGCATTCAATGCGAAAAGTCGAAGCTGTTCCCCAAAATACTCCGGAGTTTCCACAAAGGTCCTTGCTATCTCGCGCCATTTAAAGGACCACTGAAGCCAAATCCAGAGCCAAAAATGCTGATTTAACCAATTAAAAGCCCCGCAATTCAATTAATAATTTTCCCTTACCCTGCCCTTACCTATGCCATAATCCAAAATAGTCGATTGCACTTTGTATTCAACTAGAAAACAAGTCATTGGTAGAATGGAATTGGTTAGGAAATTCTATAAAGAGAGAGAGAGAGAGAGGGAGAGAGAGAAAGAGAAAGTCGAGAAATTGGCTACGAAAAGCGTTACAAAGCGTTGTTTTCCGGTCGCGCAGTTAGCATGGCAATTTTTCCAGATCGAGCTATGCGTCAGTTTTCTCGTTAGATTATTCCTTTACGCAATCAATTGCGCGGAAGTACGTCAGAGCGATTAGTAAGTTAGTCCGCTGTCACGATCCCTTTAAAGGTGGCGTGATCGCAAAGCTACACTGAATCCCTAAAAGAATGTTCCCGGAATTATCAATGATCTCTGCTAGCCGGCCCAGTGATTGGGGCGTTCCCAAATCGTCTCCGCTAGCTTCCCCATATTCCCAGAGGGTTCCCAAATGGTTGTCGCTATTCCTTTAAAGGGAGAGTGACACTTAGTTTCCGCTTCATCTCTCTCGCACTCAGACGTCTTCAAGCAGTTCAGCTGCACTTTCCCCCCGTGGCGAAGTTGGTGTCCCGTACTCGCTGAGAACCATGTTCACCAGACCGTCTCCCCGCCCTGTCTCTATCGATCCGTTAAACCGTGTAAATGGGGCAGGGCCGAAAAGCCTGTGGCCCTCCAGGGCATTCAATTAGAGACGAGAGTGAGAGAGAGAGAGAGAGAGAGAGAGAGAGAGAAAGCGAATGGAAGGGCCACCATCCCAATGTCCAATTAATATTTGGGGCGAGAGAGTAGTGGAAGAGAGAGAGTGAGAGAGATAGAGAAAAGCCGAAAAAACGAGGGGCAGCCTCGAATTTGCACCTGGAGGGGGAACACGCGCTCACCCCCCTTCGAGACATACATTCCGAGACGCTCCGCGTATTTTCGACCGCCACGGGGATGGCCTTTAGGGGGGTGGTTGGGAAATATTGGGGGGTCTATGAGCTTTGATCATTCCTAAGGGCTCTCTGCTAGCCTGCCTAGCCTTTCCAGTATCCCCTAAGGGTCTCTGCTAGCTTGCTTTGTCCGACTCCTAAAACGCCGCAAACCGACCTTTCCGAAAGGATCTCTGCTAGTAGCTATCTAAAACCTCATCAAAATTCTAAAACTCCAGTGTCCCAAGGAATCTCTGCTAGCTTGACCTGGTTCGACGTCATCAAACAGTTCGGCTAAGCTTCCAAAAGAATCCCTGCTAGCCTGCCCACAACTCTTCCGCATTCCATAAGGGATTCTGCTAGCTTGCCCTGGTCCGGCGTCATCAAGCAGTCGAACTATGGGCTCCAAAAACGACTCTGCTGGCCTGCCCTCATTTTCCTACTTCTCTAAATAGACTCTGCTAGTTGTACGGCAGAAGCTCCAAAAAAACGCTAAAATAAATTTTCCTAAAGGATTTCTGGTAGCTTGCCTCCCGCATAATTTCATAATTCCGAAATTCCCTTACGCATAATTAGGGTTCAGAAATTTCCGCAAAGAACCGCTGCTATCCTGCCTTTTTCTGGCTTCTCCAGAATATCAGAATCTCGCTTCTCATCGTCCATTCCGACCAGTCTACCCTGCCCCAATTTTAATTCGGCTAATTTTCGCTTCCCTTCCGCTTAATGGCTGATTGGTCGGTGTGAGAAAGAGAGAGAGAGAGAGAGAGAGAGAGAGAGAGAGACAACCAGTGTGAGAGTCTCCCCCCTCAATTGCCTGTATTTCTATAGAAACAGCGTCCCTTCTCCCCCTATTCCCTCTAGGGACTCCCAGGTGATTGTTGCCAGATGTTTTTCCCGATTCTTCACATTCCATAAGGTTACCGGCGACCGGAAAGTCTCCAGATTCTGGTTATCGATCCGGAAAACTAATTTTTAGAGCCCTAACCAGAGACCCGTTTCCTTAAGAATCTCTGCAAGCCTGCCTAGGAGCCGCTGCTCAAGGATCTCTGCTAGCTTGCTAAACTCTAACCAGGGCTAAGGGAGGCTAGCAGCGATCATTTGGGGCACCGGAAGTTGCCTTCAATGGACCTTTAAACAATCTACTCGCGCTGTAGACAAAGAATCTATGCTAGACTGTCCTAAAGGATCTCTACTAGTTCGCCTATGGCTAAGCCGGCACAGGGCATGCTAGCAACGATTTTTGAGGAAAAGTTGTAGTTTCCGAATTCTTGAATATACTTTTTTTAATGTACATGTTTTCCTCTCTTTTAATACCTAAAAAATCATTAAAAAAACTCTGTTTTCAGCATCGGCCCTCCCAGCCGCGGCTTCATATGCTGGCGGCTTTCAGCTAGGACAGAAACGCGCGTCGCACAATTGTACGCTCGCTAACTACCGTACTACCCTCATCTGTCTGGCATCCAGGAAAACGTGGGTTTCTACGGTATGCTACAGCAATTTTTTTCATTTCTTTGTTTTCTATGCCACCGTAATCTACAAAAATTTATCTCTTTTTTAATAACCAATTCTAAAAAAAACCCAAAAATTTAAAAAACGTGGGTTTCTACGGCAGCATGTAGTAATTTTTTAATTTCTGAAAATGCTACCGTAAGTCGTAAGTTTGTTTGTAATTCTACCGTAATGTACATAAATTTGACTATTTTCTACATTGGTCTACAGTAATTTAGTAATTCTTCATTTTTCATTTTTTACAGTAATTCCAAGTCTTCTAGAATTGCTACAGTCCCGAAAATCTTTCCAACTGAAATTACAGTAATTCTCCAAATCCGGAAGTACTATAAATAAAGTAATATTCTCAAAAAGAAATCGGAAACCCATTTTTCTTGGCCTGCAACTCAAAAGTACTGTAGACGCCGGAAATTGACGAGTTGAAGCCGGTAGATCATGTAAAACCACAAAAACAATGTCCCATTTTTTTGCTGGGCCATTTCCCAAATTTCCGCCACTCAAATTGACAAGGGGATGGGAGATGTTTGGGTGGATTTTCTGAGAGGCTTAGGTTCAGGCTTAGGCTTATGCTTATGCTCAAGCTTGGGCTTGGGCTTAGGTTCAGGCTTAGGCTTGGCTCAGGTTGAGGCTTAGGAATATGCTTAGGCTTGGAAATAGGCTTGGGCTTCGGAATAGACTCAGCTTAGGCCTCTGCGTAGCTTAACTTAAGTTTGGCTTAGCTTAGGATTGTGCTTAAAAAAGGCTTAGGCGAAGGCTTCAGCTAAGCTTGGCTTAGGCTTCGGCGTAAGCTCATCCCTAGTTCATCAATGTTCTCACCGGCCTGAAAAAACACACAAACAAATTTGGGCCCTTGGAGGGGGATCAATTTCGCCCCACCGCGGTCGCGGCCGCCAATTTTTTGGACTTTTGCCAATTAGGGGATGGGAGGGAGGGACGGGGCTATGAGAAACACGTCAAGAACACCGGTGCGTATCCCTTGAAACAAAGATTCATCATATTTTCATCAAATTTCCGGGGGTACTGTAACTTCCGGGTGCCTTCAGGGGTCCTTTAAAACGGCTACTTTCAGTTGAGAGAATCAGACATCAGCTGTTCCGCAATGGGTACCTGCCAGAGTGCCGAAGAAAAACAATTGGCAATGAAGAGCAAGGCGATTGATAAGGACATGATGCAGAGTCATCTATCACAACAGAAGGTCGTCAAACTGTTGCTGCTCGGTGAGCTTGTCGTTTCCGGTTTTTAGTTAAATCTCAACAACAAGTAATTAGGTTAGATACCAGGCAGGCTAGCAAAGATCACTTGGCAAAGAGAGTGCTCAAGTTTGTAGCCCAAGTCCGGATTTAATCGTCCTCCAAAAACGCAAGATAGCAGAGTTTTTTAAAAAAATAAAATTATTTAATTTGATGCAGCCTGTAGTCTCACGATTAGCGGGCAGGCTTGCAGAGATCCTTGAGGAGAATTCGCCAGATTTAAATTCTTGTAGTTTGTAGCCTGTAGTGGCCTTACAAATCCTAGGCAAGCGAGCAAAGTTTCTGGCGGAGGATTCGGGTTATTTGGACTATTACAGCCTGTAGTATCCCGATTAAGATGTCGAAAATCAAAAAACGCAAAATCTGGCTCGCTTTTTAGCTGAAAAACGCACCCCTATTTCCGGTCATTCAGAAAACACTGCAAAAGAGCCCTAGACAAACCCTTAAATTATGGCGAGACTAATTATTCGAGTTATGTCTATCAGTCTAATCGCCAAAAATTACAGGTGCCGGCGAGTGTGGGAAGAGTACGGTGCTCAAGCAGATGAGGTACGTTTCACGTTCAGAATCCAAATATTACCAAAATATATGGGTAAAAATTAGGGCTATTCCTGAATTTTACAGATTCGTACTTTCTAAAAAACTCAGAACCTGGCCAAAAATAAGCCTTGTAATTTTAAAAATACAGTAAGCTTACGATTTGCATATGAGGCATCAAAAAATTAGAATCTGTCTGCGAAAAGGCTCTTGAAAAAAATCCTCTGAATTAAAAATAACGCTACGCCTCGTAACGCCCAAAAAAATCTTACACCTATGGAAGCTACAAAATTAAATTTACACTTTTTCTGAGTCATCGGGTAGGACAGAAATCGGTCACGTAGCTACACAACGCCAAAAACTCCACGATTGATCACCCCTTGAGACAATGCGCGAATGTCCATGTCCGACTACATCGTCAAAATTCTCAGCCCAATTACGCCATATAATTTCCCAGGGTGGCCCTGTTGAACCTGTACTTTTGCGTTGTCACGCTTCTCGGAAATGCTCAGAATTCTCGAGACAAAAATTATCGGCCAACGAAGCAACGCTAAATAAGGGGCCATTATATTGAGGGGACCCAAAAAGAGAGGCGTAATTTGGCGTGAAGCGGAAGTGGGACTTCTTTTTGCTGCAAAAAATAATTAGAGGCTAGAGCAAACTAGCAGAGATCTTTCGCGGAACTAGTAAGGGAGAAATAGCAGAGATTCTTGAGGAAATTGGGGGCGGCCTGGCGACGATCTTTTGAGCAAGCTGAGGGGGAGGCTAGCAAAGATTTTTGTGGAATCGGACGAGAGAGGGACAGGCTAGCCGAGATCCTTGAGAAACTGGCGACTCGAATAGCAGAGATTATTGCGGAATTGAGGGCAACCTAGCAGCGATCATTGGCAGCACCAGCTAGGACGCGCTAGCAGAGAAATTTGAGGAAATTTGGCCAAAGCGAGGGATAACTAGCAGAAACCTCTCAGGAATTATGAGAGGCAGTCTAGTCGAGATTCCTGAGGGATTTGAGGCAAGCCGGCAAAGATCTTTGAGGAAATGGGACCTAGCTAGCAGGGATTTTTGAGGAATAGGTAGCAGGTAACTTTCATAAATTGGTTGTCAACTAGCAAAGAGCTTCCAGCAAGTACGGTACCCTCAATTTCTAGAATCCTGCACGACCACGGCTTCACAGAAGAAGAAGCCCTCCAACAGAAAGGGGTCGTCTACAACAATACAGTACAAGCCATGGCCACCGTACTCCGAGCACTCCCACAGCTCAGTCTACAGTTCTCCGATCCGGCTAGAGAGGTAAGGCTTCGAAAACTTAGGGGTAGGCTTAGACTTAAGCTTAGGCTCGGGCTTGGGCTTAGGCTTGCGCTTAGGCTTCGGCTTAGGCTTAGCTGAGGCTTGGGCTAAGCTTAGGCTTAGCTTAAAATTAGGCTTAGGCCTAACAATGGCTTAGGCTTGGGCTTCGCCTAGGATTCGGCTTAGGATTCGGTAAAGTCCAAAGTACCGTAGCAAAAATCCCTCGGAAATCCTCCCAGAAAGAAGGGCAAGAGTACGAAAAGCACCTGCCTACGGGGTGCCCAAAAAGAAGTGAAAAAGCTGGCATTTCAGCAGGAATGCGCGCAATTGAGAATAAAAATTCGGGGGTCAAAACCGTCTGGGAAAGGGGAAATTAATTTCAAAAGAGCTACGAGTTTTTCAAAACTTCTAAAAATTCTGTGATTGCAAAAACTTATTTTTAGCCCAAAAAATGAGGCGAATCGCTTTTTAAGCTTTTACAACCCAAATTTGCCATTCGAAAACCCTTTTCAAGAATTGACCTGTATCTAGCGAATCCACTCTCCTAGCCCTCGAGAAGAGCTTCTACCACCTTGTGAAGTCGAGGCTTGCCCATCTTTTCCTTGATTCTTCTTTCTTCATTTTGACCCTGAATTAATCAGATTAAAATTATTTAAATAGTTGATTTGATCTAAAATTTTCAATTTAAGCATTATATTCTTTAAAATTCTCAAGAACGATCAAATTCAAGTTTAAAATTACAAAATTGTCGCAAAAAGGTTGAAAATAATCTCTCTAATAAATTCAAATTTGTGGAAACAATTCATTTTTAACTTAGAATTCGGTTTTTAAACAATCCTTAGAAGTATAATAACGCTCGGAAAAGCACAGAAAATCACCTCCAAAAATCGTCGAAATTTCCAGGCGGACGCGCGGATCGTGCTGGACGTGCTGAAGGCGGGCCAGGAGTCCGAGCCGTTCAGCCCCGAGCTGGCTTGAAAGGCGCTGAAAGCATTGTGGAGTGACAAGACCGTTAGGGATGCTTGTAATCGGGGCAATGAATTCCAGCTCACCGAGAGTGCACCATAGTGGGTTTTATAGCAAAAAAACTTTCAAAGTATTTAGAGTCAAGGAAAAGCTCGCGAAAAAATTCGATGCATAGAAAAACATCAAAAAACGCGTAAAAGTGTTGAAAACAGATTTTAAATTAGCGAAATAACTTTTTTTATCAACAAAATCGTCGAAAATCCTGATTTTCGAACTTCTCGACAACGAAAAACGCTCGAAAACTGTTACTAAATTCGTTTCTAAATTCTCAAAAGCCTCCAGAGCTAGATCACGCTTTAAAAAACGCTCAGAAAATGTCTCAAATCGCATTCTTTAAACCTTAAATCACTCTAAAAATAATAGAAAAGCTCGAAAATAGCTACAAAATAAAACGTTCTCATTCAAAAAGCTAAAAAATCCCCTATTTTTCAGCTTCCTCGACAACCTGGAGCGAATCTCGATGCCCGACTATAAGCCGTCAGAGCAGGATATTCTCCTGTCTCGGATAAAGACCACCGGAATCGTCGAGGTCAAGTTCCAGATGAAGAATGTCGATTTCCGGTGAGTAACTATGAACTAAAAACCCTATAAAACCCCAAAAAGATAAAAAGGTGCTATTGCTTTAGGGGGGCAGTCTGGATTTTGACTACGAGACGCTCCAAACGCCGTTTTTTAAACTCGACGCCTCTGGAGAAGCTAAGCTAAGATTAAGCCTAGGCTTAGCTTCATGTACAAACAGAGCCCCACAGGCTTGGCTTGAGGCCGAAGAAGAAGAAGCTAGCTTAGTTCCTAAACTAACCCATAAATGACCCCATTGTGACCTCATGTGTAAAATTTTAAGCTCTCAGGAATAAGCAACAGCTTGGGGCTTGGGTTTTAAGCCTAAGCCTAAGCTAGGCTTGAATTAAAAGCCAAGTTAAGCCTAGGCTTGCCACGTTGAAAACCAAGTAAACTAACCAGGGCTCCTCGTAACCCCTTACTACCAATTTTGGACTGCCCCCCTCCAGCAACATACCGATAAAAAATACAAACTACAGGTTAAGTAAAATCCTAAGCTGGCTATAAATTACACAAAGTGTCTCAAACGTTAAGAGAAAAACTTAAACCACAACCTACAAAGCTAGGAATGTTGATTTTCATGGTTTAAAACGCCAAACCACATAATGCAAAAAGTAGAGAAAATTATAAACTACAGGCTACACCCTAATGAACTCTATAAGAATGCCCTCCAAACGACAAACTCTCG